AAAAAGATTTTATTTACTTATTTGAGAGAGAGAGAGAGAGAGCACAAGCACATTCCATTCAATATACAAAACATACTTGTATACCTCAGTCCTTTATTTTGGCATCAAGGGAAAATAGAGTTGCAAAAAAAAAAAAAAAACAATGAAATGGGGTAAAAGGTGGGGAACAGAAGAGAGGGTAACACAGAGAACACTATACACACATATAATGCAAGAAACAAAGGAAATAATACAAATCTCCACAGAATCACTTGCTTCTTCCAATCAGTCTTCCAATAATCAAGTCAACTGTAGAAAAATGGTTTTCAGATTTTAGCGGGCTTCAGAAATACCTGATGGGTTTGTTAAAACACAAATTGCTGGACAGAGTCCTGAGTCTCTCATTTAGTAGACTGGGTGAGGCTCAATAATTTGCATTTCTAACAAGTTCAAAAATACTTCGAGAACCGTTAACAAAAATTTCTGATAGCCCATTAATCACTTTTGGTCATTTGCAATATCCTTACAGTTGGGGAATTTCTACAGCTTATTGAGAATGGCTCCAGTTTATATTGTTAATCATTATATTTTTCTTTCTTTATATGGTATATATAATCTCACTGGCAGTCTTATAATATTGTTCATATGATATGCAGATTCGATTTTTGGGTAACTTTCTGATTATTTATTTTGCCACAAAACAAAGTGAAGCTAAACTACTTCTGGAAGTAAGATTTGTTAAATAAATTATATCAAGATGTGCATAGTTTGTTTTTTGTTTTTTTTTTGTATTAAAAGAAATATGTACTATGTGCAGGTATCATGCTAGAACCTGGGATGAAAAAAGTGGACAAATATAGGCATGGTCTCTGACCTCTTGTAATTAGAGAATCTACTGAGGGATACAATTATCTGAAAACATAAATAAGGTGATAAATACTCCCAATGAAAGGTGTATGATAATATAAAAATATGCAACAAACGTTTCCAGAGTAGCTAAACATTTGACATTTCCCAGTTGCTCCACATAATCATCAACACATAAAATTATGGGTATGTTTTTAGCCATTCTAATAGGTGTGGGTGGTATGTCATTATAGCTTCCAATTTGTACTTCCTTATTAATAGCAAATGATGTTGAACATTTTTCATGTGCATATTTGCCATCCCTACAGCTTCTTTAAGTGTCCAAGTCTTTTGCCCATTTTTTTTCTATTGAATTTTGAAAGTTCTTTATATATTCTGAAAAGTTCTTTATATTTAATAGATGATTGCAAGTATTTTCTATCTATGGCTTGTTTTTTCATCTCTTTTAGCAGGTCATTCTCAGAATAAATTTTTATTTTTGACAAAGTTCAATTTATTCATCTTTTTTAAAAAAAGAGTGCACCTTCGCTGTCACTTGAAGAATTCTGGCCTAACCCAAGGTCAAAGAAATTTCTTCCTGCTTTTTCCGTAAAAACTTTGTAGTTTTACATGTTACATCCAGATTCATGACCCATTTTGAGATAACTTTTTTATAAGTTGGGAGGTCTAGGTTGAGGGCCTTGCTGCTATGAATGTCTAATTTTTTCAACATCATTTGCTGGATATTCAATTGTCCCAGACCAATTCCTTCATTGAATTGCTTATGCATCTGTCTCAAAAATTAGTTTGCCATACTGGTGTGGGTCTGTTCCGGACTCATCTTCTGTTCCACTGCTCTATGTGTCTATCATTCTGACAAAACCACACAGTCAGTAACAATACCACTGTTTTGATTACTATAGCTACATGTCAGTATCTGGTAGTCTAATTCTTCCAACTTTATTTTCATTTGCAAAGTTGTTTAGACTATTCTAGTTCCTTTGCTTTCCATATAAATTTTATAAAGTTCTAGCTACAAAGAATCTGTGATTTTGATATTAATTGTACTGTATCTATAGCCCATTTGGGGGACAATTAACATCCTTACTATATTGTCTTCCAATCCATGAATATGGTATGTCTCTCCATTTATTTAAGTCTTCTTTGATTTCTTTTAATATTTTATTTTTTGAGCAATCATAAATGGTATTGTTTATTCCTAACATATAGAAATATGATTGATTTTTGTTGACCTTTAGTCTATGATCTTGTAAAACTCATTTATTAGTTCAGGATGTTTTTGGAGATTTCCTGGGATTTTCTATGTAGACCATCGGGTTATCTGTAAATATAGACAGCTTTACTTCTTCCTTTCTGATCTGTATGCCTTTTATTCCCTATTTTTAATCTTACTGCACTAGCAACGATATCAAGTACTATGTTGAATAGAAGTGATAAGAGTACACATCCTTGTCTCATTCCCAATCTTAGGGAAAAAGCATTTATTCTTTCATCAAGATGATGCTAGATGTTTTATTTTATTTTTTTAAAGATTTTGTCAGAGAGAAAGAGAGAGAGACAAAGAAAGCACAAGCAGGGGGAGCGGCAGGCAGAGGAAGAAGCAGGCTCCCTGCTGAGCAAGGAGCCAGATGCAGGACTTGATCCCAGGGCCTTAGGATTATGACCTGAGCTGAAGGCAGATGCTTAACTGACTGAGCCAACCAGGCATCCCTAGATGTAAGTTTTATAGATTTTTTTTATCAGACCAAGGAAGCTTCCTTCTATTGCTAAATTAGTTTTCATCATAAATGGGGTTGAATTTTGTCAAATACTTTTTTTACATCAATTGATATGATCATTTTTCTTATTTTCTTCTTAATACAATGGATTGCATTCACTAAATTTCAAATATGAAAGCAGCCTTGCATATCTGGAATAAACCCCACTTGGCTGTGGAAACAATTCAGGTCTTTCCATGGAGAACTGATTACCAGACTGAGGTACATCCATACAATGGAATATTATTTAGCAATAAAAAGGAACAAACTATTGACAGAGCAACAACACTTATGGATCTAAAGGGCAATACACTGAGTGAAAAGTCAGTCTCAAAGGGTTATAAGTTGTATGATTCTACTGATGCAACACTCTTAAAAGTTACATTATAGTGACAGGAAAAAAATCAGTGGATGCTGGTCATTAGGGTTAGATGAAGGTATAACTATTAAGTAGCAAGAATGAGTTTGTGATGTTAGGTTCTAGATTTTGATTATGGTGATTACATGGATCCATATGTCATTTTATGAACGGAAAAAAAAGAGCATGTAAATATTGTGAAATCCAAATAAGGCCAGTAACTTAGTTAATAGTATTGCTGCAATGTCAATTTCCTGATTTGACAATATACTGTGATTAAGATAATAGGAAGGGGCCCCTGGGTGGCTCAGTTAAGCGTCTGCCTTTGGCTCAGGTCATGATGCCAGGGTCCTGGGATCCAGCCCCACATCAAGCTCCCTGCTCAGCGAGGAGTCTGCCTCTCCCTCTACCCCTCCCCCCACTCGTGCCCTCTCTCTATTAATAAATAAAATCTTTTAAAAAGATAATAGTAAGAAGCTGGTGCAAGAGAACTTTCACACTGTTTTTGCAACTTCTTGTGAGTCAAAGTATTATAAAATAAAACATTATTTAAAAAATACAGGTAGAAAAAAAAATAGAGGGGCCTGACCTCAGCAAGATAATGAGTCAAGGAAGGCTTTGTTCTATATGGAGGGAATGTGTACCAAGTTTGTAGGAAAAGAAAGCATTAACAACTCCATGGAATTTAAATGTGGCTAAATTCAGAAATAGATGGGAGAGGAGAGGAAGACAGTTTACAACAGGGAATCTGAATCATCCTTCTTGGTTCTGATACTACATAGAACCTCAAAGGCCATGTATAGAGCAACAAAGGGAAACAACTGAAGAGTTTTAATGAGGGGGAGGGTATAAAGGCATTATTAGTGACATTTAGTCACATTCTAACTGCAATGGAGAACAGACTGAGAAGTGAAGATATAGGAAATCTAGCTTTCTGGTTACTGTTGTAATTCAGCAGTCAGGTAATGATGGCAATGAAAATGGAACAGAATGGACAGATCTAAAATGTACAATGCAGCATAAAATAAACAGAACACAGTTTCTATAAACAGAAAACATCCATCAGATTGGTGACACAGAACTAAACCATTTCAAAGGAATACGGTGAGGGTAGAGGGGTGCCAGACTGGAGCAATTTAAAGAATGGGAGGGGAAGAACAGATACAAATTTAGAAAACTGAAGGAATGAGGCTGTAAACACAAACACAAACAACCCCCCCCCAAAAAAAAACAGAGATGGGGTAGTAGCTGGAGGTGGATTGTGAAAATGAGGGGAGATAATTTAAAAAGGTAATGAAATGAGCACATTTGAGTGTTAATAGGAAGAATTTAGTTGAAATGAAAGAAAGAAATAAGAAAAATAGTTTAAGGACAAGTGTGAAGAAAAGAGATGATATGACATTTTGGGGAAGGCAGGATGTTCTATGGCAGAAGGCAGTATGGCAAATTCATAAAACTAAAGTAAGGCTTAAGTATAAAAAAATGAGGGGGACAATCATTGGAAATCATTCAGAAAAGGGCAGGGCTAGTTGCTTCTACTGTAAGAGAAAAAGAGGTGAAATCAGGTACAAAAATGTCTGATACTGGGTATGTTTTTCCTCTGTGAAATAGTAGGAGAGCTCTATTAGTTTGCTAGGCTGCCTTAACAAAGTACACAGAGAACTGGGTGTCTTAAAAAAACAGGAATTTATTTCATCACAGTTCTAAAGGCCAGAAGTCCCAGATCAAGGTGTCAGGAGGGTTGGTTTCTTCTGTGGAATCACTCCTTGGCTGGTAGATGGGAATCTTCTCTTTGTCTTCCCATGGTTTTTCCTCTGTTGTCTGTGTCCTAATCTCTTCTTATAAAGATACCAATCATATTGGATTACAGCCCACCCATATGACCTAATTTTACCTTAATTATTACTTTAAAGACTCTATCTCCAAATAAAATCACATTCAGAGGTAGTGGGGGTTAGGATTTTGACTTATGAATACTGGGGGGACACAATTCAGTCTATAACAAGAGGTTACTTGTCAAGAGTGAGAAGGGAGATAGGATACATCAGAGGTTCAAAGTGAAAGAGGTTCGAAGTAGTTCTAAATAGTCTAAAAGAGTTCTCACAATGATTACATGAAGTAATAGCTTAAATGGTCAATTTAGTTTAAGTTCAGTTTAATTCAAAATGAAATTATGACTTTAAAAAGAAATTATGACTTTATTATTCCACTAAAAAATTGTTTTACAAGTCAGAAAATCTGAATTCTAATCCCTGCTCTAACAAGCAATGCCCCTTGGATATATCTCTTATTTTTGTCATTTTAAAATAGGAAGAACATATCACAGAATAGACATATGCCTCAGAGTATACTAGAAAGAACACTGACTTGGGAACCCCTGACATCCTGGTCCTGCTCTGTCTCAGAAGAGCTTAATTTCTCAGAACCTTGATTCCTCATCCTAAAATGGAATATAACTAATTCATCTTTAAAGTCTCTTCTAAAATCCTACAGTTCTATGAAACAAAGTAAAATAAAGTTACTTTGAGAATAGATGGATTGTGGCATCAAAAAAAAAAGATTCTTTGAAATATTTACCAATAAAAATTATATGCTCCCAGCATACTGAAGCACTGGTTTTCCATTTCTATCTTTTCTACATCCTCCTCTGCTTCCAAGTCAGTAATATCCTATGGTTAAGGTTGGCTTAAATAGTGTATACTAAGTTGCAACAAGATATTACTTTTTTTATTGTATGTACTTGTCTACTTAACTTTAAATCATTACGTTTTGAAACACCATTCCCAGCATGTCCAAAATTTTAGAGTTTTGCATACTAAAAAAAAAAAAAAAAAAGCTGATGGATATTTATTAGTCAGAAATATACATGGCAAAAGTAACAGAAAATCCAAACAATGTCTTAATCAAGAGTTTATTTTTCTCATGTAATAAGTGCAGAGGTTGGCAAGTGCTCATGTTGGTTCAGGTGTTCAACATGCCATCAGGAACACAGGCTCTCTCTAATCCAACTACAAGGCCATCTCTGAAAAGTAGCTTTTATTCTCCTATTTATTGTTTCGTAGTTGTAAGATGGCTGTTGTATCTCTAAGTATGTTGTTGACACTCATGGCCTGAAGGAGAAAGAGGCAAAAAGCCTCACTTCACAAAGCTCTGACTTTTTAATTTGAAAGGAAGACCCTTCCCAATAGGCTTCTGTTCATTTTATTAGCCTTAAATAGGTCATATGCCCATACTTTAGATATTTGCACACTACCCACGATGGTGGCCCTGAGTCACATGCAGCTATTAAAATTAAAATTAAATTAAATTAAAAATTCAATTTCTCAGTTCTACTGGCCATATTTCAAGTGCTCAAAAGCTATAGTTAGTGGCTACCATACCGGACAGCACAAATACAGAATATTTCCTTAACTGAAAAAAGTTCTGCCTTGGCATCTCACAGACCGTAAGGAATGAAACCACCTCTGTTTTAGGTCAATCATGATACATATCCTAGGGCTGAGGTAAGGTAAGGTCCTTATCTCCTTGAAGAGCAGGGATTTCTGCTCCTACCTGAACAATGTAAGATACCTTAACAAGCAAAAAGTGGCAGTAAAAGCAGTTGGCAAATGTCTGCCACAATAGGATGATCAGTACATTTAAACTGAGGTTTATAAATTACACATTAACAATGTACTTCATAAAAAATTCTTAGCAAGCAGGTATTAAAATTAGAAAAATAAAGTGAAACTTAGGCTGACAGTTATACAAGGCACTACCTTACACAAATATAATTGCTAAAGTAAACACTACCCTAGTGATGGATAGGAGACTGAGATAAGAAAGTAGTGGAATAATATATGAGCACTTTATAGAAAATAAATCTGAGGTGGCTGATTATGTTGAAAATGCGGTTACTAAATTCACTGGCAAAAAAGAGTGCATCCTGTGATAACAAAGATTTGTTGATAAGAATTAGCTTTCTATGGGGAGAATTATTTCACATCTGCTCGTTTCTCATGGCAGAATGAAATGAAAAAGACTGCAAAATAATAGAATGAGACCAGATATGGAGAATAATATACTAACAGAATTATTCAAAAGATTAAAAAACTGATATTGACAATAGTTTCTTCCTAAATACTTCCAGGTTGTCAAGTCCTCCATGAACCCCATTTGTCTAAATCCAGCAATGACAAGTATGCAGGAGTTTCTGTATACTATTGTAAACTATCTATATTAAGTAATTATACATGTATGTGATACATACAACATGTAATTTGTATATGTAAATTACAAACTACTACTAACAATACATGCCCTGAATGACTGATTTGTGTCTGAATAAAGTTCTCAAAGTGTCTCAAAGTTCTTTCTATTCCACTGAAACATGCAAAATATTGTTGAAGGTAGTATAATGGTTGTTTATCATGAAAAGAGAAAAAGGAAAAAGAAGCTCTTATCATTACCAAGGAGGCAATTAAATATGAGAATTGTAAAAATTTGCTCTTAAACATAGTTTAGATTTTATTTTCCCTAAGTAAAAATAACTCAGCTACTGAAACCTCTTTCATCCCTATTGTCTGTTTTAATATTATTTTATGCAAAATACTTAAAAGTTCAATAAATTTAACTTTCATAAAGGTTATAGCATTATAGCATTATAGCATACATGAAACTTAGAGCTTTTTATTGGTAAAAATCTCAATTATGTCCTATGGCAAAACAAAAATTTTACAGAGATATTACTGAACATTATTAAGCAAGATTTATGAGAATAACATTATAGCACATAAAACAATAGCCTACTGGAATGCACAGCAAAATCCAACTTGACACTATAAAGAGAATCAAAATAATTTGCCAACATTTTGCTTGTCAGCAATGCATGCTCTGTATTTCTTATCACAAACAAAAAGGAGTTAACTAGAAACTGAATTCTGAAACAACATATTCACTATTTGAGTGTAACAAAAAGAATCTAGAATCTTCAAATGCAAGTTTAATAAATCACATGATTTATTTATGGGATTTCTACATCAGGTTGTGGTTTAAAAGAAGATATATATGTGTGCTATGAAGAGAATGATGTACAATCAATATGAATCTTGTTAAATCTCTCTTCCATGGACTTTCTCCATCTTCCTGCTTATCAATAAAAGGCATTTTTAGGTCTATATAAACATTCTTTACAATTGCCCTCTTAACAAAAAATTAGTATATAAATAGCACTAGGCATTTAGTAGTCACAAGCCAGTAAGTTCAATTGTGCAGTTGTGAAATGTAATGTGAAAGAGTTTGAAACCTTAAGACTGGGTGATCTGCAGTGTTTCCAACATGTCTTCGACTGCCTTAAGAGAGTATTTGGTTTCCTTCTTACTTCGACCTGCAAACTAATTTAAAAAAAAAAAAAATGCAATTAGGTTCAATTTCATGGCAGGTTCAAAATCACAATCTTACCTTCACATTGCTAATGAGAGCTAACATTATCTATTTTATCACTAGCAAGAAATCAAATATCTTCTTTTCAATAAAACAGAATTTGCGTTTTATTCTTTGCTTTTATTTCCCTTACCTCTGGAGACCTATCTAGAAAAATGTTGCTATGGCCAATGTCAGAGAAATTACTGCCCATGTTCTCTTCCAGGATTTTTATGGTTTCAGGTCTCACATTTAGGTCTTTAATGCATTTTGAGTTTATTTTTCTCTATGGTAGAAGAAAATGGTCCAATTTCATTATTTTGCCTGTGGCTGCCCAGTTTTCCCAACACCATTTTGTTGAAGAGATTTGTCTTTTTCCCATTGCATATTCTTGCCTCTTTTGGTAAAGATTAATTAACCATATAAATGTGGGTTTGTTTCTGGGCTTTTTATCCTGTTCCACTGATCTGTGTCTATTTTTGTGCCAGTACCATATTGTTTTGATTACCAAAGCTTTGTAGTATAATTTGAAGTCCAGAATTGTGATACCTCCTCCAGCTTTGTTTTTCTTTTTCAAGATTGCTTTGGCTATTTGGGGTCTTTTGTGGTTCCATACAAATTTAGGATTATTTGTTCTAGTTCTGTGAAAAATGCTATTGGTATTTTGATAGGGATTGCATTAAATCTGCAGACTGCTTTGGGCAGTATGCACCTTTTAACAATATTTTTCCCCCAACCCATGAGTATGGAATATCCTTCTATTTTGCTTGTGTTGTCTTTAATTTCTTTCATCAATGCTCTAAATTTGGACTTTAATAAAATTTTCATTAAGGCTTCACTTTTAGTTGAAGTATACTAAGATTTCACTGCAAAATTGGCCAATTTAAATGTTTAAGTAGTGTGATAACCTACAAAAACATAAACTTGATTTTAAAACTCTCCTCTTTCGGAATGTTGAAAAAGAAAAGCAAAGCTGGTGGCATCACAATTCCGGACTTCAAGCTCTATTACAAAGCTGTCATCATCAAGACAGTACGGTACTGGTACAAAAACAGACACACCGATCAATGGAACAGAATAGAGAGCCCAGAAATGGACCCTCAGCTCTATGGTCAACTAATCTTCGACAAAGCAGGAAAGAATATCCAATGGAAACAGGACAGTCTCTTCAATAAATGGTGCTGAGAAAATTGGACAGCCACATGTAGAAGAATGAAACCAGAACCATTTCCTTACACCATACACAGAGATAAACTCAAAATGGATGAAAGACCTAAATGTGAGACAGGAATCCATCAAAATCCTTGAGGAGAACACAGGCAACAACCTCTTCGACCTCACTTGCAGCAACTTCTTCCTAGGCACATCACCAAAGGCAAGGGAAACAAGGGCAAAAATGAACTATTGGGACTTCATCAAGATAAAAAGCTTTTGCAAAGCAAAGGAAACAGTCAACAAAACCAAAAGACAACTGACAGAATGGGAGAAGATATCTGCAAATGACATATCAGATAAAGGGCTAGTATCCAAAATCTATAAAGAACTCATCAAACTCAACACCCAAAGAACAAAGAATCCAATCAAGAAATGGGCAGAAGACATGAACAGGTATTTCTCCAAAGAAGACATCCAAATGGCCAGTAGACACATGGAAAAGTGCTCAACATCACTCGGCATCAGGGAAATACAAATCAAAACCTCAATGAGATACCACCTCACATCAGTCAGAATAGCTAAAATTAACAAGTCTGGAAACAACAGATGTTGGCAAGGATGTGGAGAAAGCGGAACCCTCCTACAGTGTTGGTGGGAATGCAAGCTGGTGCAGCCACTCTGGAAAACAGTATGGAGGTTCCTCAAGAAGTTAAAAATAGAGCTACCCTATGACCCAGCAGTTACCCCAAAGATACAAATGTAGTGATCTGAAGGGGCATCTACACCGCAATGTTTATAGCAGCAATGTCCACAATGGCCAAAATATGGAAAGAGCCTAGATTCCATCAACAAATGAATGGATAAAGATGTGGTATATGTATACAATGGAATATTATGCAGCCATCAAAAAAAATGAAATCTTGCCATTTGCAACGACGTGAATGGAACTAGAGGGTATTATTCTAAGCGAAATAAGTCAATCAGAGAAAGACAATTATCATATGATCTCACTGATATGAGGAATTTGAGAAACAAGACAGAGGATCATAGGGAAAGGGAGGGAAAAATGAATAAGACGAAACCAGAGAGGGGGACAAACAATAAGAGACTCTTAATCTCAGGAAACAAACTGAGGGTTGCTGGAGTGGAGGGGGGTGGGAGAGATAGGGTGGCTGGGTGATAGACACTGGGGAGGGCATGTGCTATGGTGAGCTCTGTGAATTGTGTAAGACTGATGAATCACAGACCTGTACCCCTGAAACAAATAATACATTATGTTAATAAAAAAGAATAAAAAATAAATAAAAAAATAAAATTATCCTCTTTTGACTAGAAAATGTTTATGAAATAAGCATAATTTATAAGTGAAATTTATATTTCTATAGAAATGTGAACCATTTCTACTTCTCAGGCCTCTAAACAAATATTTACAACTTCAACAAAAGTAAAATATAAATGTAATTTCTAGTAAATATTTTAAAGTTGCAAGACATCTCTAAAATTATTTAAAGTCAGAATCTTTAAAATGTTTCAGTAATTATTAGTTGACAAGATATGTTTCTGCAGTAAAGAGTTGTCAAATAAAACTCTGCTACATATTAAAATGATGTAAACATGTTTTAAAATATGCATTTCTAGTTTGTGAAGTTGTAATTTATTTTATAAAATCAAACTGGGACTGAATTTTATAAAGAAAACAAAATACAATGGATTAAAAATGGTATCTTTGCATATTTAAAAGCAAGTTCATGGCATATTAAATTCAATATAGTGCACATAATCAGTATGAGAAACACTGCTGAATATCCCATGATGATTTTAAAATGGGTTTTCTAACTGGACTGACAATTCTCATCATTTATCAGTCACTGAATACTATAGATTAACTAAATAAATGTTCCTTGTGGGGGTAAGAGAAAGTTTATTATATAGATATCTATATTCCCTGTGCCCCTGGTTAAAGTATTGATTAACATTTGCTATTAGCAAAATACAGTATTTTCAAATTAACATCTAAGCACTTAATACATTTTCAAGTGACTGATCTTCCCTGCAAATACCAATGCTGTCGTAAGCACTTAGCACTTGATTTATGATGTGTTCCTTCTCTTTTGTAATTAACTTAATTTGGCAAACTTCTCATGACCTGTTGAGAAAGATTAAGTGATCAAGCACAGGTAAAATCACAGAAGCAATAGACTTCAGGAATTGGTAACCTGCCTCTGACCTTTCTTGGCTGCAGGTTAACATTATGATTCTCCTACTTCCTAAACCATTAGCTTCTATGGTTGAATCTTGATTTGATAGAGTAAATAAAGGGGATTTCTAGAAGAAATGCCAGGGGAAGAGAAAAGCTTCTTATAAGAATCAAGATCACTTTACCTTTCACAAAACATTACTAATTCAAGGAATTCAAATGTTAAGTATACAATTCATAATTACAAAATATGGTAAATAACAACACAACATTTACAACTCTGCCTTTTCATAATTTCCCAAGGTGACCAAAGGATGTGGGGTGTGTTATTACTCCTATTATCCAGTTGATAAATTCACTTTCACAAGGACTTACCAAGAACAGAAAGCCTTTTCTTTTACTACTGCCTATCCAAAGTAAACAGGAATGGTCCTAATCAGATACTTAAAGGCCTAATTCTAAGAAAAAGCTTTGATGGGTCTGAGCAAAATAGGATACCACATAGTAACACTCACTCTGATTTTTTAATTAGCAAAACAGAATAATGAAAAATTTCTGTAGAGCTGAAGTCATAATTAGAATTTTAAAATACAGTACTTTTCTTGATTTGTTCTTAAACATAATAGTAGTAAATATAAATCTATGATTTTTTTAATTAGCTAATTTTTAAAAAATCACCTAAGATTGTGTGTAAACACTACTGACAACCAGTGCAATTTAGAATAAACCAAACTTATTTGTGTCAGAACAAATAAAAAGAAAGTTGGAAATACAAATCTATCACTTCAAATTTTGCCTGACATGCAATTATTTTGTCTATTCCAGAATTATATGGCAATTTAACTGATTAAGCCGGAATTCTATTTTTCCCTCAAATCATGATTTAATTTTCCATTTCCCAAAAGGATAGTAACAGAATCACCTCTGCAATCATAAATAACATATGGACTGCTAGCACAAATTTAACAGTGTACTAAAGAAGCATTTATCTGGAAAATTATTGTGAGTAGGTTCACATTAAAGTTTCTCATGAGCATTAATCAAACTTGCCTGCCTATACTGAACATGCTAAACTAATTACCTAATTGAAGAGCAAGTAGTAGCCATATTCTGTTTCATTATTAAGTAGAAAGAAAGAAGGAAAACCAGTTCTTAAAATCTCATTTTCTCTAATTTACAAGTGCCCAGAAAAACATTACAATAAGGAGCATTTATTCTATACTTTATACTTGTTTATATGCTTAGACATGAGTCATAAAATTCTCAATTAGATCCGAGAAATTTATCTAATTACTAAAATGTCAATCTCTGAAAGTTATACTTTCCACATTAATCACAAATCCTGCATTTTTGTTTTCATACAGTTAGATTTTGTTTAAAAAAACTCTTCTTTCATAATTCCCTATGGATCTTAGGGAAAACACCAGAAAGCATACTCAAATAATACAAACTTGTTTATCAAATTCAAAGATCAATAATTTATCCATTGTGATAACTGGGATAAATTGGGCTAAAATTTACCTTTGCATAATTTGTGGAAAATAATATGGGTGGACAAAATACTAGGATAAATAAATTGGAACACTGGATGGATGAATCTCAGAAACATTATACTGAGTG